AAGATATTTTTTTTATTTTAGTTTTATTTTTTCTAAATAAATACACATTGTAATTATTTTTAAAGCAACCAATTTTTAATTTCTTTTTAAGAATTTTTAGAATAAAAACTCTTATTATAACTCTTATTAAAACTCTTACATAACAAATTAATAGTGCTGGTGTATTTAATTTTTTAAAGTGCCTAATTCTTTTTTTGTAAGTATTTAATTGTTTTTTTAAGTTGTTAAGTTTAATAATTAGAATAATTAGAATTAGAATAATTATTAAACTTAATAACTTAAAAAACAATTAAATACTTACAGAAAAAGAATTAGGCACTTTAAAAAGTAAAATACACCAGCACTATTAATTTGTTATCAGTGCTCAATTGTTAAAATAACATTTAATATAATCTAATATTAAAAAATGATTACTGTTATACAGAAAAAAATTTACTTGTTTTCAATAAATACATTCTTTAATTATAATTTCTTAATTGATAAAAATAATTACATCCAATAATTTTTTTGTTTTAATAAAATATTTGCGACAAAAAATTTGTCATTAAAAAAAATGTTAAAAATAAATAAAATAAAAATACAATTACTTGTCAGAAAATTATTAGTAAAATAAATAAATCTAATTTTATCTACCAAAAGCTTACAATTATTAATAAGTAAATTTTTTTTTTCAACTTATGACATAAATACAAAAAACAATTTATTGATTATTTGTATCAATTAATACATATACATATATAACTAATGACTTTTTGCTGCAATACAAATTTAGTTAAAAGAAATATATCCATATATTAAACTTTTCTCTAAGATCATGCAATTGAAAGAATGTTATACTAGATAAAACGCGGTGGAATATGTATTCTTATAAATAAAAAATCGTACAAAATAAAATAAAAAGCGTAGCATTATGAGATTCTTTACTTGTATTTTTATGAAATAATTGAAAGCAATTTAAGGGTTTAAATTAATTAATTACTTAATAATTTGTTAATCTTTTATGTGTATGTTAATCTGGTATGTGTATTTCTCACTAAAACTTTATATAATTGCAGCAAATAAATGATTTTAATTAAAAACTTTTAATATACATGGTATTTATATTTTTATTATAAGAAAATATTCTTGTTACTGTACAAGAATCGATATTTAAAAAAATTTTTTGCATCAATGAAGTTATTTCTCGTGAAAAATATTTTCTTTGTTTCAAGAAATAATTATTTTCTGAAAATAACATTTTCTCAATTTTATATATTTATTATTTTTTTTTACAAAATGCAATTTTTTAAAGAGATACATAATTCTTTAATTCTAAAAAAACGTTTATTATAGTAATAATAAAATGTTTGTTAAATCAATTAAATGATAAGGATTATTTTAAAAAATTATTTATTTGGAACAAATAAGTAAGTTTTCTTTTCCGTGTAGCAACATGAAAAAATTTAAATCTTTCCATAGTCAAAATAATAGATAGGGATCAATTTTTCAAAAAATTAAGTGTTTTCAGATTTTCCTATACATATAAAGTCGCCAAATCATTAATAAAAAGGATACCAAACATATCACACATTGTAAACTCACAGTTTTTATTCATTTATATTAAATTTTATAAATACAAAAACAATAATAAATTTTTATACAACTTTCACAACGCTCTAAAATTAAGAAAGGGCCTCCACTTGTACTTTGAAATAGGTTGCTCTCATACCATTTTACGAGGGAAAATTCTCGGATAATGATTCTAACAACAAACATAATAAAATGGAAAATGCGTGATGAAGTGGTGTTCCGTTTTTCTTTTATAAAAATGATGCTTCTATATGTAATTTACATGTTTTTATATGTAATCAGTTCCACACACCAGTTAGAATAAAATAGGTCTCATCTCACTGGCATGTACGCGGTTTACAATAATTATAAATAATAATTGATATTAATAATTATAATATTAATAATGAAAATGAAAATAATAATAATAATAATAATAATAATAATCGTAAAATAATAATAGACATTCTATGCTAGCAATAGTGACGTCGTTATGCTATACTTTTACTCTCGTCATTAATGTAATACTTAATTAACACTCTCAATTCGTATTACACCGCGCGGCGCCATATACATACTTATATTCGCCATAACAATTGCCATGGGAGCAACTAAAATCCCTTTAATATTAAAATTTCGAAATTTTCAGAATTAATTTAAACGTAAATGAATTAACGATGAACGAACCTGCTTTAATCTCTCTTTCGTTATAACTTCCGAATTCCAGCTTCAGAATTTTCTATTATGACATATCTTGCATTACTTGAAAACACAGTTCTCACAAAAGTCCAACATGGAAGAGTTATACATCGTAATAAGATACGGTCCGATTAAGCTTAAAATTACAATTGCACTGCTTTAAACGATAGAAAAGTATCGAAAATAACGAGAGTTGGCCGCGCGGTACGCTCTCGCGACAATCGCGAATATTATGTGTGTGAATACATGATACAAGTTACACTACTCGTTATTATTATATGAACTTGAATAAACGCATATACGTACACACATGTTACAATAGCCAAGCATCGCGAGTGGGCGAATACTTTATTACTATCAGCGTCATTCAGGGCAGAGCTCTGTTTGCGAGGCTAATTTGAATATATGTAATTAATTAGAATATTTGAATGTAATTATTCTTTATTTATTATTCTTTGTTATTCTAATAAATTATTTTAATAATTTAATAATTTATTAGAATATTAATAAAGAATACTCAAGAAAAGATTCAATTGTTGGATTATAAATTCGTTTTGAGAAAACAGAAATGTATTAATGGACCTGAAATCAATAATTAGCACATATGAGTGATGGAATATAACTAAAATTCTTTTTACAATGTGCGTGCGTGTGTGTGTGTGTGTGTGTGTGTGTGTGCGCGCGCACATACGCATATATTATGCATGCGCGCTATATTATTTAAAATATTCAAAAAAGTATAAAATTCAATCGGAAAATTTGTTTAAAATCTTTATATATATATATATATGTTTAAGACTTATAATTTATCTATAAGATTTAAATATCTTATAGATAAATTTACATAAAATTTCGTAGAGTATGGTAGAGTTTGAAGTTTACTTTAAAATTTCAAAAACCGACAGAATTATCGGAAACTGAAAAGCTTCCTGTGTCAAACTGAGTTCCGTCATGACAGTATATCGTCGTACAATATGTCATTATATTTCGCATCACACTAGCATGTGCACATATATATGCTTGTACTCTGGCAGTGGACTCGGCTCCGCTTAATACTCTGGTACTATGGAGTTCTTATCACAGAGATATTAAATTGTTTGGTGCACTTTTCTCTCCTTTTCCCAATCCCCTTTCTCGTTCATTATTCTTTCTTGTGTTATAAATCCTTTTTCTTTTTTATAATTTCGCAGTGATATCATCGCATTACGCCGATTAATATATAGAATTATGCACTAATTTTCACGCATTAAATAATGACCGATTTTGAATTCTCACAAAAAGCGATAAATTACGATATCATTAAGATTCGAATTCCTTTTTTATCTTTTCGTCAATTCAGTATGTTATTATTGTTTCGTATCGTTTATGTGCAAGCTGTATCTATTATCTATGTATAAATATAATAATAGTAATATAGTCGAAAGCGTAATAATTGTAGAAGCAAAATTCAAAGATTTTTCAGAGACCTGCGCGGCCAGTTTCATCAAGAAGTTAATCAATCTCGACTTTAATGTTTAACATAGAGCCTCTGTCTTTATCTAATATTAAGACTGGAAGGCAGCAAAAGGAGCAAATTGGACTTACAGTTATAATTGATCGACCTTGATAAAACTAGCCTCCGGATCCTTGAGAATAAAAATTTCTTGATGAATTGTCGACGAATAAAAAATCGCCCATTCGATCCAAATTTTTGATATACGAAAGATTCCAGTTGCATCGTCACCAAGCAAATGATAATTTGTACTTATATTAAAACACTAATTAATTAATATAATATCGAATGGAATACATTTATTCCGAATATAGTACAAGTTAATTTTTGAAAAAATAATAATTTGAAAAATAAAGTTCTTAATTTTTTAAACATGAGAAGAGTTGTTATATATAAAAGTTATTATATAAACTTTCTTATATCTTTAATAAATTAAATGTTTTCACTTTAGGATTTCAAATAAAAATCACATAAGCACATCCACGAGAAATACCGCTTTTATAAAATTAAAGCAGACTGCCGAGAATAATGCATGAACTAAAGAAATATACGACCTTTCTTATATTTATCGTCTCTTTTTACTCTATTCGCAAATATTCAACCGATGATATCGACACTGGCAACTCCCCGTTAAACCGAATCGCGACGCTATCGAGGTAGACTGACATCAGTCTTGTTAAGGCTGGCAAGAGAGTCGACCTCCGCAAGTGTGCATCCGACACAGCGAAGAGCGAGTCAATCGGCACGAGTTAGACAATTACACATGATAAATTCACGTCAAAAGTTAAACCCAAAAGCGGGCGTATAAATTATTAAAAAAAACAAATGTCGCTCGCGTGCAGCAATGAGGTAATACGTGCAAACGTCTCAGTTACAACAATTCTTTACCTCGTTAAACGAATGAACGTTCAGACACTTTCCACTAACGTTTCTATATTATATTACATTAGTCGATAATTATGTAATGGTGATCAATCGTTGATCACGATATTTGGCAGTTGTATAGTTAGCAATAGTCATCTCAAAATTTCGACCGATTATTTAAATATAGTTTTAATCATTCTGTAATTACTGACTGCTACATATGTTGGCAATAACTATCGTACTATGTAACTATATAATACCAAATATTCTAACAAAATTTTTTTTACTCAAACGAGCCGTCTTTACCACAGACTATTCTCTGTTTAAGTATCTTTGTTTGCTAAAAATTGTATATCAGATGTTTGTGCTACTCGGCCGCTATATACGAATCACATTGTTAAAAAAACGTAATCCCTTTATTAAAACACGATAAATCTATCATATATTTGAAATAGATAATATGTGCGTAAATAAAATAAACATACAATATAAATAATATATTTTTAATAGCATTTAAATTAAACATAACAAAAAATTTGTTAATAAAGCTTTTAAAGAATGTACATGTGCGCATGTCGCGTATGACAGTATGTTTTAAAATTAACGTTTTGAATTTTATCAAAAAATTTTTATATTTTTTAATAATCTTTCCTTCTTTCAAATTATCTAAATTTTTTCCAAAAATTTGGTCTAACGAGATTACGTTTTTTTAAATAGTTATATTGCATACGCGCGGCTACCTCACCATGCACGCTCACGATCAGTGCAATCTTTTCGCGCGATCGAATATATCTAATCTGTCCCTTCATTTCTTACGCATCCGACATACACGTTAATGTTAAAGCCTCAAAATCAAGAGGCTATCGAACAAGGTCGAGAAGGTAATTGCGAGTGTTGTTGCTTGTAAGCCGTTAGGAAAATGCACCCAGTACATGATAGATTGCGTTAATTATGTTATTAAATATTAAGTAACAAACGTGGTTTCGATTACTGAGCTAACTCGGTACAATCAACCTTTTCTCAGATCATGTTGATTGCGAATGGAAAGATAAAACACTAACGAGCTGATTCACTCTACTGTTACGCTGTTAGGATTCATTGAAGAGGCACATGAGTTTCTCTCTTCTAATTCCAAAAATTATAAACATCGAGAGCAATTTCGCATCGTGGTTGACAAGTTAAAAGTTCATTGCTCGTGCGCTTTGTGATTATCATTTGACGTTGGAAAAGTAAAATTTGCGACAATTCTTAAATTCTCCTTTCTCTCAAATTTGTCCCAGCCAAAGGAACAAATCAGTTTTTAAATTCTTTTCAGTTCTTGATTTTAATGTTATCAAAATGGATATCTTCCAGAAGATCTTCCTTTCTTCCAATTTCTAAAGTCACTTTCAAAGCTTTATTGAAGACTTCGGCACGTTCACTATGAAGCTCGAGCAAATTGAATGACAGAATTTTGCCTTTGTGAAGTCGCGATTAGACTTGCACCACTGCCACCGCTACTCTTGTACTCGCTTTCCATGGACTGAAGAATCATCTTGCTACGTTTCCTAGGCGGCAAGATTAACGTCTCCCGTGGCGGTATTGCTAGATCTAGGGCTAAGTCAGGCGATGATACCGGACTCTCAGGATTACTGCACGGTGGTGTGAGCAACGGTTCTCGATCGATCTTGATAATCCCGACACCATATTCTTGTCTCTGACGCTCTTCCTCGACTGCCTCCAGGGCGGCCTCAACCCTTCGGCGCGCATCATTACCCGGCAGATTCAAGAGAGACGAACAGTCAGCAGCGTCGAGATGGCCACCAGCGGTCAAACCGAAACTACCGTACGCTGGTTCGGGATAAAAAAACACGTGATGAGTTACCGATTCCAGTGGCGCGCTTACTACAACGCTTGCCTGAAAGCGCTTCTCGTCAATGTCAGTGAGTACGGGTTCTGCCGTGCTCGACGGCGGTGTCACTACTGGCTGCGAATACTGCTCCTTGTTGCCAGAATAGAGATAATACGCAAAGTCACGTTGAACAGCGTAAGCATTCGACGTCGAATCCGGATAGGCCTCTTCAGTCTTCAAGTTCTCCTTGTTGTCGACGGCGATATTTGGTAAATCTAGAATCGTCGAAACCGTTGGATTAAAGTTACTACTGCTGTCACCACGGCCGCTCTGAGAGATCTCAACATCCGGTTCGATCAGCGAGCCAATCGCCGTTGGCGAAGAAACGCCGCTGTCGGTGACAGTAGAAGTGACAGATGCTGGCGATTCCGGATGTTTCTTGATATGCAACTCCATCGTTTTCTTGGAACCGAAGGTCTCGTTGCAGATTGTGCATTTATATACCTTCTCGCCATAGTGCGACACCTGGTGCAGCTTGAGTACATGGTTATAGCCAAATGCCTTGCGGCAGATGTCACAGGTGTAAGGCTTCTCCCCAGTGTGGGTGCGCGTATGCACCTTCAACTGCTTGGAACAGGTAAAGCCCTTCTTACACGACTTGCACACGTATGGCTTCTCGCCGGTGTGTGTTCGCATGTGTATCACCAGCTGACCGCTCTGTATAAATGTCTTGGAGCACACGGAGCACTTGTGCGGCCGTTCACCAGTATGAATGCGCATGTGACGGTGCAGCTTGCCACTATGTTCAAATGCGCGTCCGCACACGTCGCACTTGTACGGCCGTTCCTTCGTGTGAATGCGTCGGTGTACACTGAGGTTTTCCTTCACGGAAAACGACTTGTTGCAGTACTCGCACTGGTATGGTTTTTCGCCGGTGTGAGTGCGGTAATGGCGCGTCAATCGCGCCGGTACCGCAAAGGTCTTGCCGCAAATATTGCAGCGATATGGATCCTCGCCGTCCTTGCCATGCGACCTCAAGTGACTCTGATATATGCTCTTTTGCGCGAAGTTCTTCTGACAGAGTAGACACTGGTATTTCCCGATCTCCACCGTCGTTAGACTGGCTGGATCCGCGGCCTCGACTCCGCTACATCCTGGCGTGGCCGCGAACATTGTGAGATCCGGACTGCACACCAAGCTCTTCACCGAACTCGTCGTTTCTAAGCCGGCAGTCATGCCTCCACCCGGTGCCGACATTGACATCGCTGGATTCGACGGCACGGACTCCATCTGATAATAGTCCAACATCGAGGACAAAAAACTGAAACGAAAAATTGCAAAAGTCCGATTAGTAAATCATTTTTTCCTCTTGTTTACGTGGATATTTCATAACACATGTTTCACATGTATAATTTAACAATATGAATAGTACGGTTATTCTGATTTCGTGATTCTCTGGTTGTATGTATACAGTGTGTACGGTAACTACGATTGACAATCAAGTGTAGCTTTTTTTAAGTTCTTAATTATTTAGATTCTTAATAACTTATGTATTTAATATTATAATTATTATATTTAAAATTATAAATAAAGTTAGATTATAGATTATAAGTATTTAGTTGGATTTTCCAAACTAAGCATGAGATCGACAAGTCTCGTGCAAACTCGCGTACAATTCTAGAACAAATTCTTACCATAAATTAATAATTCAATACTACGCATATGCGTGACGTATTATAGCGGCAATTAATAGCGTTTCTATTAATGTCGCGTATGTGTTCATATAGTTGTAAGCAAACGAGAACTAAACTATCATTTTTTACAGGTTATAAAAGTTTCAATAATAATTGCAGAAGACGCGCGTTTAGAATATTTTTACGATATATAAGATAGCTCGTAAGTATCAACAAAAAAATGCACAATTGCTTGTAAAAAGGCAATTTACCGTAAATGCATCGTCAATGTACGACATCTTGTTGCGTTCGTCAAGAAAACTATACAACGGCGTATTATAACAAAATCACGCTAAATAACGTAATAAAATCGATGTTCGAATATATGCATATTAAAGAATATATAACATATTATATTGGTTACGACAAGATTGTTTATATATTTGTTGTTCTATTAGCCGAAAAGCGATATTCCATTTTGGATTTAAATTAGCCATTTGTTTATAAAATTTTTTTCCAAACTAAGAAACGGATCCGAGATACCGCAGCAGCAGATAGGTAATAACCTTTTGTAAATTTGGATTTCAAGTAAAAATGTAGAATTTGTAAACAAATTGATACAGGATTGTTATATTTTCTATATATATTCTTATACCTATATATATTCTTCCAATTATTCTTATATCTTCTAAATTAGTCGAATCTTCGAACTGTGTGTACGGCGGTAAGCGCCTGCACGCGCGCGGCGTTATCGTCCAACACCGGTCGTGGGAGGCCGCAGGCGTGGTCGGCGGCTGCAAGCGTATCGCGCGCCGACCCGCTTGCCCCCCGTCGCTACCACCACTCGTCTCGCACGCTGTGCCGAAACCCGCGCGGCCGCCTCCACGTGTACAAGTCGCATTTTTTTATAGCGATCACCGACCTCGTCCAACTCGGCGCGCAGTAAGGACGTCGAGAGTTACATCACAAGAGGAGCGCGCAGCGGCACACGACCGACGATAATCGCGTACGGTGCGCTTTTTCTTTCGTTTTTTTTCTCTTTTCTTCCCATTCTCTCTTCTCCCTGCGGTCCTCGTTTTCCTTTTCTTCCTCCTTTCTCTCTATCTTTCCTTCCTGCATCACCCGTTTCTACAACAGCGACAAAGTCATTCCTCTTCTTGATAGCCTCGGACTGATCGGTCGACTTACGACGAGTATTGCAACGCACAAAAGGGCTACGCAAAAATCGTATTGATCCACGGAAACATCCCCCGTACCGAGGGGAAATCTCACCCTACGGCCAAACCGTCGCTGCTCACGCCCGGAAGACACTTTCGTGCCGAATTTCATGGAATTGCGCCACTACTCTTCCTCTTCGGGGTTCGAGTAATCTCGCAATAATTTCTAATCACACTTTATACAAATTGTTTTAACTACAAAAAAATAATTGTAATCTTTTAATTAATTAACATTAATATTTTTTTCGGAAAAATGTAACAAACCCATGTTTATTACTAATTTAACTTACAATATTATTAGCATTTATTTTTAGTTTTATTTTCTTATTTTTCACATGATTTTTATTTAACAAACTTCAATTTTCACTAATTTACAAATTTTCACGATTATACATTTATACAATTTAGATTATTATAATAATAAGTCGTAAAATACTTGAAAAAATATATAATCAAATGAGTATAAGACCCGCGAATTGTAATAATTACATTGAATATTAATTGGATATTATACATAATTGAACATTAAATGTCACATACGATTACGTAAGTATAACAACACATAAATATAATAAAAAGAAAAGACTTATATACAAATAATTTTTTTCATAGCTATGTCACATACGCGTAACAAAAATGATTCTATTAAAAATCATTTATAACACATAAATATATAATGTTAATGTCAATACTATATTTATCCTAAAAATATCCTGAGAATAAAAAAATGTTGCTTAATTTTAATCATCTAATATAATAAATTTGACATAAACTACATTTTAAAGAAAATTATATAACTTTACTGATAGCTGAGTGTTTAATAAGATAATGTTTCTGTGCTATCGACATGTATGTGCGCAAAAAGAAAAACAAAATGAGGTCTATCAGCAACCGAATATGATGACGCCTGATTTTGATTCGGAAAGTTGATGACAGTTGATTCCCCCTCACACCTTCTTCGGCGTGTTTTCTCTTTACGTCGCGAGAAAGTGACTTCGTTCCGTTCGTTTAATATCCGAAATCAAAGTGGCAAAAATTCAATCAAGATACAATGCCATGAAAAGCACCTTGTTTTAATTTAATGGTAACTATAAACTATCCTTTTATCACGCTCAAATTTACAAGAGATTATTGCAAGTTCTAATATCTATAAATAAGGATCTATAAAAAAGAGTCATTACTCAAAGAACTCGTAAAATTATATGAAAAAGAATATTCGGATTTAAGAACGCACAGATTGAATTCGAAAGATTTGAAGACATTAGTTTTCGCGAATCGAAGCTCGCAATGTCACTCTCAAATGTAAAAGGAAAAAGAACGAGATAAAGGAAAAAAGAAACAAATTAAAAATTCCAAAGAAAGAAGAGTATCTACCTGCACGTCGTGTTACACCCTAGTGTAATCCAAAATCTGAGCGTTGTTTATCATCGTCCTTCGTTTTGATGACATCCGGAAGAGGGTCCTCGACAACGCCAACGGCAAGTAATTCGCAGACTTTCGATTTTGATCCAAAGAAGAATTCGTAAAACTGAAGGAACTCACGCGAGAGATCGTGTAAACTCGAAAAGAAAGAAATCACTTCTTTTCTCACAAGAGACGGATCAAGACGAAAAAGCGAAAGACCCGCCGCCTCGAGACCGGCCAATTGTACTGTACAATGTTTACCTCTTCGGCCACACCAAATGATCACGACCGAGGCGCACACGCACGAGCGCGCGATCCGCGTTCCCCACCGCTCTCCTCTTCGCATCACCCTTTCCAATCTTCCCCTTGCCCATCGTCGCGCTATCGCCTACTCGCCTCATCCGCTCCACCTATCCCCGCTTCGCCACCACCTCTCGTTCTTCGCGAACCGACGGCGGCGACCTACAATTTGGGGCGGCTGAGTGCCGCTCGGCAGCACGTGGAGGCTGTCGGCGTGGTCGGCGCGACCTGGCTTGCGCGTGCAATTCACCACGACGCATGCTTGGCGAGGGGCAAAGGGAGAGGAACGCGACGGACGACAATCGCAGGAGAATGCACAGGCGTAACCAACATTCGCTGTGCCTTTACCATTCTTGAGCCATCCTATCGACGTCGATTATCCCTTTTGGATCCGATGTTTGTTACATTAACCATAATATTTTTCTTTTATCTATAATATGTAAATGTGTAATTGATTCTTTTAATTCGATAATGATTAATTTTTCAAAATATCTTTAATACGAAAGAGAATTAACGTTTTAGAATTTAGAATCCCTGATTGAGGCTATATCTATTTTTGTCAATTTTAACTAATGAAAAAGTATTGTGTAACATTGGTACATCATGTTGCGTAATTTAAGAATTTATTGTTGCCTAATTATCATTACGCTACTACTGTTCTCAACAACAATAGTAAGTTCTAAATAGCGCGCTTATTGCACATAATAAAGTGTAGTTGCCGTTCGTGTACAAACAATTAAACAACGACTTTTATAACTGATTTATGTTGATCCATTCGTATACAGCGCCTCACGAATTGCGATCGACGACTTTATTTTGAAGTTTAGGTGATAAAGCTTTTTACTCTCACAAATCCATTGACGCATTATTATAAACGGCATTTACATCATTCTTGCACAAAAATTTTTTTTAATTCATAAAGATCAATATCGTACAAAGTAACGATGTTAAATATATAAATTATTTTTCAATGACATGTTTAGACATGTTTAGACATCGATTAGATGTATAAACTATAACAAAAATTTATCATTTTGAATAAAATATAAAAAGCATATATCTTTTTGTAGACTATGCATAACAAGGAAGAATTTTTTTTAAGTATAAAAATGTAATTTTAAAATGTTAAATAAAAAATAATTTGATTTAATTCTTTATAAAAGACTCTGTTCAATTTCAAACACATTAGAAAAGATTTTTTTTTTAATTTAATGGAAATTAACGTAATCTTCGATATAAAATGCTACATAAATGCACTTATAATTAATACGAGAGGCTCCGTACGATAATATTTAATGCCTTCACGCCTTACGCTATTGTCTGAAAAGCGAGAAACGGAAAGAAAGAATGAGAGTATGTGAAATTGAAGAACGAGGACAGCGCAAGGGACAAAAGGGTGGTAGAAAGAGGAAGCGAGAGGGATTGCAAAGGAAAGCAACGCAAAGGATGCAAAGGACGCAGTGACTTGCGAAGTGCGGACTCCCCTCGCACGCGTACAGTCACGGATTCATTGCCACACGTGCGCTCGCACTAGCGCTCGTGAATTTAATTCTTATGTGCCAGTAAACGCTCTTGCAACTCTATAACTTCATCTGTAAATCCTGTATAAAAAATTCATCTAATATTGGTTTTAATAAACTTAATATCGATTCTATATCGTGGGTGCTTTCCATTTAGTGACACAGGCCGATACAAGTATCGTTTTGTGTTTGTTATTCACTAAATACTAGGAGGATATAGAACGATGTTTGTGTCGACTTGTGTCACTAAATGGAAAGCACCCTCAATCATTTAAGAATTTACGAAAATGCTCAAAAATTATGCCCATGACAAGTTAAATGTCTTGATACGATACTGCACGTCTTGCTCGTCATTGATGATTGCGCGCGCGCGTGTATGTGCACGTACGTGCGACTGGTAAGATCGCGTCTCATGCGTCTGTCTTTCACTTTCACCATACTTTGCTTTATCTCTTCTTCTTCGCAAACTCGAGTAACACATAATCCACGTGGTTGCTACTATATTTATCAAAGCGACCAAGATGGTAAATGAGGGCGAAGATAAAGGAAAAGCCTATACTCACGTTGTAAGACAGCGAGGAAATGCAACATCTGATTAAATTCTTTGTTCTCATTTATATATAGAATCTCGAGCTTTCATATTTTTTGATTAAAAATCTCTCAATCATCTCCATTCTATCTAGAACAATTCAAATTCCCTTTTTTTTTTTTAGTAAAAACCTTAGGGTATCGAAAATAGATCTTAAATTAAGTTTTTAGATTTGAAGAATACAAATACTAACAAATAAATAACTTATATAATTTAAAATTACAAGTGTATAATTTACATAATTTAAGATTACAACAGTAACAACAATGATGACAATAATAATAAATAGGAAAAGAATATATAGCATGATATACTACTTTTTAAATTTTGAACGAATTTTATTCTAATAAAATTTAAATTCAAACATTAGTAATAGTTTAAAAATTTTGAATGCAGCCCAGACAACAGAGAATTTCAAATTAATTTTCAAAATAACTTTTTTTAAATCTCTGAATTATGAGAGAAATACCTATACAACATTCTTCTTCCATCTCATTTCTAACCCTACGTTCTAACAGTTCTATAAGATTTAATTTTTATATCACCAATTTCTTTCAAATACAATTTTATTATAGTAGGTAATCCTTTTATAGTCTTTTTATAATGTAAAGTTAAGTTAAGAATTTTCAATAAAATAGATCCACAAACAAAATCGTATTGTCAAAATACATTTTATTGACTTTTTTAAAGCTCAATTTCCAAATAATGCTCCTTCAAGGCATTATGTTATATCAAAATTTCGTTACAACACGTGTGAAAAATCACATAATGCTCTGCCTTTTATTCTATCCTAAATGATTTTTTCTTACGAAAAAAATGAAACTTCGCAGACTGCGATTCTCTAATTTTTTAACGACGGTGTCGCTATCGTTAGATATCGATGAATGTCGCTTGCGCTAACGATGGTATAACGACTAATCTATTCTGTAAATGAAGTTATCGATACGATATCGATACATAAACTAATTTCAATGTCGTTATTACGACTATATTCGCTTGAACATAACGTACGCTGTTGTTCATAACCAATCAAATTGTCACTTTTCGTTGAACTCGCGAAGAGGTTGAAGGCGTAAATTGGTTGTCACGTTCAAAAGCGAGTTAAGTATTATGACTGAGTAAGTGAATATATAATTTAATATACTTTAACTTATAATTAATAAATTTAAGGAAAATAAATTAATTGTGCATACATACGTAAAATATTTTTAATACATTTATCAGAAAAATGACTAAAACTCGTCAAGGACGTGCAAATCGGCGCCAAATTGAAGCTCTTGTAGCTTATTTTGAAGAAAATCCTGACGTGGCATCCGGAAAATTTGGAACTATAAATGCTAATGAAAATTTACAAGATAAATGGGAAGAGTTAGCACGATATTTAAATAGTTTATCTACGGATGGAAAACATAAAGACGTGAAATCTTGGAAAACAGTAAGCATATATATAACGTAAATAAAATTAAAAAATAATTTTATTTTTATAAAAAATCTAAAATAATTATTAATTAAATTGGTATCAATTGCATAGTAAATATAATATCAGAAGACACAGTAACCGTCTCTCGCGAAATATATTTTTTCATTACATCATGATGAAGGCGACGCTACAGCATATTTTTTACCGAACAGATACTTTTATAGAAATAAATTATTATTCCTTTTAAGTATATTAATATTATCAAAAAATGCCTATTTTATGGAAGAATATAGATTTTTTCAATTATAGTATACTTATCCGTAAGTGTTGATTAAATAAATAATAAATTAAATAAATAATAAATAATTATTTAATAAATGTAATCAATATCTAAATACATAAAATATAACGTAAATAACAAATAATATTATTCTTAATGTTTAATAACCTTTATTATAGACTTGGAGAGATCATCAAAACTATCAGAAAAGATCCAAAAATTAAGACAGGCAGGAGCAAGAACAGGAAATAACGCCATTGATATTGTGTTATCTGAATTAGATAAACGAATATTAGGCATTATTGGACATGATTATATGTAAGATCTTACGTCTGTGCACGATAGTTTTCCTGAAGAACATAATGTAAGTAATTAAAACACGCACATACACGGAATAATGTAGAATATATACGTTTGTATATACATATGTGTAGAATGTTATCGAAGAATTAGCAACAGGAGATGAACAAATTTTAAATATTCCCCCCGCACCAATTGAAATACCAGAAATAGTTGAAATACTAGATGGGACACGTATTTTTCCTTATATCTTTCTACAAATATTCATGGTTGAAAACGTTACCTTAAAAATAATTTCTTTAGTTATTATAGATGATCGAAATAATCAAAATAATCAAAATGATTTAAATGTAATGGAAAATGAAGTTATAATAGAAAATGTAGGACCTACGACATCACAAAGAAATCAAAAGCGCAAAAAATATACCAATTCCGAAAGATTATCTGATCAACTTTCCAAAACTCGAGAAGTTTTTGCAAATATAGCAGACAAGCAAGCAAATGCAATGAATGTTAATATTTTTGTTTATTGTATAAGCGGCATTCTTATTTCTTTTTAAATATTTTTTTAATGTTCAATCTTTAAGCCCCATCTACATAAGTCGCAAACGCAAAACGCAAACGCAAACGCGGACGTTCCTCTCTTTCTTTTCTTTTATTTTTTGACGTTTTGTTCTTTTTTTTTCTCCGCGTTTGCGTTTCCGTTGTGCGTTTGCGACTTATATAGATGGGGCTTTACAGTTACTCTCTGAAGCAACATTGAAAATGAGCGAGGCATTAACTAAAATAGCACAAATTGAAGAACGCCAAATTCAATTATTAAAATTGCAACTTAAAAAAAAAGAAGAAAAAGAAAAAAACAAATAATACAATATTAATTATTATTTATTATTA